AGTTCGCTAAATTCAGTTTTTGATGTTTTTGTAGTGTCAATGTTTCGTTTGGTATGTTGGGTTCTATTGATACTATGTCTGAGTTTAGCTATGAGTTACAAATATTTAATTAATTATTACACTTAAACTGTTTGAACGATATTTTTTTATTTATCCTGTTTACACTGGTATTTGAGTTGTCTATTTCAGGAAACATGTACTGCAGAGTTCGTTCAAGACAGTTTGTGATTTATATTGTGTCATTATTATGAGTCTGTAACTTTTATTTTATTATTGTCTTAACATAGATTATTGTTTTTTCATCGAATGCCAAATGAAGAGTTTGTTAGGTTTTAGTTGATTTTGTAATTGGTAAATTCTGTGAACAAAAGGACTTAAATTGATAGAGTGCAAAAGTTCAAGGAGTAATGTGCAATTTGTTTAAAAGTTAGTTAAATAGGTCTTGGGTTTCAAGTTTGAAACATGGAAGAAAACGACACTGATTTTAGCTAGACTGTCGCCAAGGGGTGGCTCGTGCTACGAAAAATAAACTGTATCGCTAGATTGTTGCCCCTCCTTCGCTGAGCGACAGTCTATCGCTCGACTGTCGCTGAGCCCCCACTCGAGCGATAACTTTATTCGGGAAATTTTTATTTCGCGTTTTAAAGGCTTTTTTCCTGACCTATTCGTTTTTTCTAACCTAATACAAAAACACTTCTGTACGAAAATTTGGAGGTTGAACATTGAGAGAGCTACATTTGTAAGAGATTGATTCGATTCCTTCCTTCAACCTTCATCTCGTGAGTTTGTTTTAGAGAGAAAAACATTAGTTTAATATTCTAAATACCAAACTGCTATTCCTCTACATCTTATCAGAGTTCTGAAGATCAAGGAAGTTCGACTGGAGTTCCAGTCTGTGAAGAACGGGTTGTTCTTCGTGATTCATATGAGATAGACGATTTTACCAAGCTAAGGGCTACTGCAGGATAGCGGAGTTCCAGGAGAGCGTTGGTTATTGCAGTTGGAATTGGTGCAGGGGAGCACAGAATTCAGGAGAGTTGTCAGAATTGCAGTTAGGAGATCGGATAGTTCGTGTCGTCCTCTAGTCTGGTAGACTGTAAGTATAACATCGTTTATAGTGGATTGACTGGCAAAGTGCTCGAAGTTTTTCCCAGTTAGATTTCTCCGTGATCATTCTGCTGTTGATTACTGCTTTTATTATATTGATTTATTATATAACTGCGGTATTCAAATTTAGGACTAAAGCTGACTTGCATGAATGATCATCTAGAAAAGAATTAAAAAGTGACTTCTGGTTGTTTAATTCGTAATATACTTTTAATTTCGTATAAAATACATATTCATCCTCATCTAGGTATTGTTAGGGTCGAATTTGCTTTTTTCAGATTCGAGCCTCAGAAACGAGGTGTAATAATCTCCCATCTTACATCTTAACATACTTGTCGACGTTGAAGAATTCCGGACATCGAGTCGGGGACGAAAAGATTTGCCCGTGGATTTCATACATCTTCTTCTCCCTTCAATCTCAAAACAAACGCAAATGGCCACTAGATGGGATGGTCGATTTCACTTTTTGATCAACAAATATACAAGCATTTATTTAGCCCCCATTTTTTAACTCATTTTTTGTCAAACTTATTTCCAATCACACATTTCATGGAATCCACAACTTTTATTTCAACCAC